CTAACATTTACACCTATTTAAGTTTTTGATACAGGGTCTTACTGCGTAGCTCGGATGGCCTTGAACTCAGAGATCCACCTGCCTGTCTCAAGAGTGTTGATATTTAAGGAATGTACTACTAGGGAAGACACATTTTTTTACATTATTTCATAGTTGGTTAAGAGGTGGTGTATGTATGTGTGTGCATGCATGCACATGCGTGCCTGAGAATGCATATACAAAAACCAGAGAAAGATGATGTGTCTTTCTTGATCACTCTCTACCTTCTATCATGGGTTCTAGGAATCAACCTTTAGGTCATTAGACTTGTGTAGCAAGCACCTCTATCTACAGAACCACCTTTCTGGGTTTCTACTTTATTTTTTGAGACAGTCTCAATTAACCTGAAGCTCATGATTTTGACTAGGCTGGCCAGGCAGTGAACCCCCAAGAAACATTTGTCTCCATGTCCCAGGATAGGAGTTACAAACACAACAGGCTATGTCTGGCTTTTATGTGGGTAATAGAGATTGGAACTCAGATCCTCTATCTCTCACAAGTGTTCTTATTCACTGAGACTTTTTTTTTAAACATGAACATGAATTAGGAAATTTACCTACACTGTAACAAAAAGTCCACTTATACCTTGTCCAGTGGGACGGATGTTCTCATTAAGGAAGTTGGGGAAGCAATGAGAAGAGCAAAGACTATTAATTATCCCCAAGAAGCAAAGTGCCTCAATAAGCTAAGTGTCTAATCAGTTGAAGACTGGTATAAATCATCTTCTGCACAACCCTTTCAATTATAAAATCACCCAATGAAGACCTAAAATTGGCTGGTACTATGAGGAAAGTAAGTAGTTTAAGTGAATTGAAGTCTTTTTTATCATTCAGAAAACATAAAAATGGAGGTAAATACTAGTGCACAATGACACAATTTAGAAATTGTTTCCATTACTGAACAGAATAGTTTATTCCTTTTCATTTATAAGTCTTTTTAAATCTCAATGATTAAAAAAAAAGTGAGATCATTTTCATTAAGAATTTTAGCTTTTAAGGCCAGTCAATGACTCAGTGGGGCAAAGATGCTTCCTGTTGAGCCTGAAGACCCAAGCTTGATTCCCCAGGACATGCACTGTAGGAGAGAAGCCATAACTCCAAGTTGCCTGCTGATTTCTATACAGTGAGTGAATGCACACAAATAAATGTAATAAGATTTCAAATTTTCATTATTTTTTAAGTAGAGATGCTTAAAATACAGTTCACAGGGATAGGTATCCCTGACTTACAGTTCAAACTTTCAGAGGTTGCTCCACAAAATTCTCACAAACTGCACAGAAAAACTAAAGGTTGATGGAGCCTTACTCCACCATCTAAAGATCTTTGGGGAAAATCCCCGAGAAACTCCAAATTCAGGGCAAAATGCTGTTCATGAATAAATGCTAAGTCTCAAGTCTACAAATGAGCCAGGAATAACATACAAAATACAGAACTGAATGTCACTGGTTCAATGATGATCCCGAGAAGCCAAACAAAATGGTATGACTTTAGAGGCCTAACTAACTCATGTAATTCTAGATATATCATTAAAACATTCAAAACAAGCCAGGCATGGGGTTGAAGGCATGCTCCACCAATACCCGGCTTCAGCCTACTTTTTTAAAGACACCCCTGGGCCACTTACACAGATTTTGAACTTTTAAGAATTAACCTTTGGCCGGGTGGTGGTGGCCCATGCCTTTATTCCCAGCACTTGGGAGGCAGAGGCAGGTGGATATCCGTAAGTTGGAGACCAGCCTGGTCTATAAGAGCAAGTTCCAGGACAGCCTCCAAAGCTACACAGAGAAACCCTGCCTTGAAATTCCTTCCCCCTCAAAAAAAAAAAAAAAAAAAATCAAAACAATTTATCTAAAGAAAAGATTTATTCTACCACAATGTTTCATATATTTTAAAAATCTGAAAAACTTTATGAAGGGAGCTGTCCTTGTTCTTACTTTTCCTATGGACTAAACAATTTCAAATGTTTGTAAGCCACATCAGAGTACTGGGACCATGAAAAGCAAAAGGCAAAACAAATTTGATGCTTTGATAACTTGAAAGCATTTGTCAATACAGAATAGATAGTAGCTATTACTAATAGACAGGACTAACAACTCTTTCCTCAGCATTTCTCAGTTGGTGATCATAAGGTTTTTTTTTTTTTTTTTTTTTTGCTAACTCTATTCTTCACTGAAAAAAAAACAAGCTTCAAATGCCAATGAATATTCAGTTTGAGGGGAGAATTTCTATAGGAACAGCCATCCTCGTGAAGAGACTTTTTAAAAAACAAACACCATATTTTAAGAATCCTCATTTGTGGGTTAATTCTGTTTTTTCTACCTTATTATCCTGTTTACTAATACTTAACCACAGAACAGTTATGAAGAGCCACAACAAAGAAAGTGAAATGCTGGCAGCTAACATGATTCAATTAAAGTTTGAAAAACAAAAAAAAAGGCTTCCAGTCACACCCCTATGAAAAGTTATGCACTTGATCTCACATGCTTTAGAGTCTTATTCCTACTTTCAACTGTAATTACACTCCAGTCTGAATAAAAGTCATTCATACCCTAGGGTGAGGTCATACTAATGTAGAAGAAACTTGGAGTGGTAGAATTGATGTTATAAAGAATGTATCAATAGACTTCCTATTAAGACACAAAATAGTATTTAGCTAAGGAAGTGCTGCCTTCAAAATACTCCAAAGATACGAGTATACTAGCCGCTTAATAGGTAAAATTAAGGATTCTAGAATGTAAGTATTTCTTCAGCAGGGTTGACCAGATACTAGGCTCTATCCCCATAACAAAGGAGGCAGTTGGACTTAGAAACATTAGGCCTATTTCTCTATCAGAGAACATTCCTCTAACAGACAATTCTCTGAGGCGGCCCAGGGTGACATCTTAAAGTGAGGTATACCATAAAGCCCCATTTCTCTTCTTAAGAAAGGCCTAATTCTACCAGCTACACAAGATGGCCATAGGTAACAACTACTTGGAAAAGAACAATGAAGGTGTACTTAAAAATAATTCAGGCAATGTGGATTATCTTTGCTGTATAAGTCTCCCACCAGACTTATGCAGTCTCCTGTCTGTCTAAATTGGTCAAAGTGTAAACTGGATCTGGGACCTGAAAGGGATTTAAGGATGACAACATATGTAGAATGCATAAACCTGAGGTATATGCAAGTTAGTTAAAATCTTCTATCATTTTTTTTTAAGATTTATTTTTTATGCATACAGTGTTCTGACTGCATGTATGCCTGCGGACCAGAAGAGGACACCAGATCTCATTATAGATGGTTGTGAGCCAACAAGTAGTTGCTGGGAATTGAACTCAGGATCTCTGGAAGCACAGTCAGTGCTCTTAACCTCTGATCCATCTCTCCAGCCCAAAAATCTTATATTACTGACTATCCTTATTAAAGCCCATAAAGATGGCTCTGCTTCATTTTGGCTCAAGGTCAGAGAATTCAAAACTGTCCTTAGTTTTAAGTCATAAGACCTAAAGTTCTAAGTAGGATGCTTGATCTTAGCCTTGGGTGTCATATATATATATATATATAAATAAAATCAACCCTTCCGACCCTCAAGGCTAGATAATTAATGAGAAATTGAATCTAAGGCGTGGTTACCAAATCCTTGGAGAATTGAGGAAGAAAGTCTGTCTCTTATAACATGATGCTATGTTCCCTTTTTTGGTTAAGTCATTTAAGAATGGTGAAGAATAAACTTTCGGTGCTCGGTATTCACTGGATTTGCCATTCTGACTCTATCCTGTGTCTCTGTCCACATTTCCCCTCTCAGATATGAATCAGGCAAGTCGGTTAGCTCTGACTGTAGTACTACAAACACAGCCTCCCACATATCATTTTTGAGCATTAGCCAGAGCTGGAGTCAGACCATCATTAAAAAGTTTTTTCCTTATTTTTTCCTCAGTGTGTGAACTGAATCCTGGGGGTGAGGTGGATTTGCATACTTCTGCTGCAATACAATTCTGTTATAATTATAGGTTGTTAATCTGCTATTTCCTGTAAAAGGCTTCAGTGATCAGTACTTAAAACCCTCCTTGTAGTATTTTAAGAACCCAAGGGATAGAGGTGGAGGTGGGGAGTCTACGGCAGTAAATACAAATCATAGAAATTATCAATGTTTGAAAATGCCTTCTGGTCTTGCAATGATAGTTGCCAACTAAACCTTGAACATTTAATTGAGCCTAATATTTAATATCTATTTCAGAAAGGAGACATTTGCAGCCATAATTATAGGCACGATGCAAGTCGATACTGTTCAATGTCTTGAGGGTTTTATTTCGTAATTAAATTAAGTAGGTAGGTGGGCCAGTTCATTTAGTTTGCCTTAATAAAACCCTAGAAATCTGACACATAATATGTCATCGTCAAAGAGCACACTGAGACACAATCTGACAGCCTGGGATAGTCAACTCGGACCTTTGCAGCCCGGAAGCATTCTGCTTCCCTCGTCCACTCTTATGCAAAATAGGGGTCGCAGGACCTGGTGAAGACGGTGGAGAAGTGTCACCTGATATTTAAAAACAGTAGCTGAGGGCACTGCACAAAACCTATAATAAGCTCATCACTTATAACGCTTAGTGTCAACACCCCCAGGCTACCAACTGTTACTCGCAGACTTGGCCGCAACCAGAGAGAGACAGGCGGGTCCCGCCCGTTGACCTTGGAGAATTTAGCTGGGCCAAGACAGGCAAGGCCCGACTCCACTCGCGCGCGGCCATGGGGTCGTGACCTTCGCGGGGAAGCTGTCGGCTCTGGCCCTCTGCACCTTCCCAGTCCCAGCCCAACTAGGGTGAGATAGCGGGATTAGGAGTACGCTCGGCACTCCCTGGCACTGACTTACCACCCCAGCTAGCGCCAAGCGGCGCCCGCGAAGAAGCCGCGAAACCGCTGCAACGCCAGCCATGTTTCTGCAGTCCCACAAGCCTCAGCGACAACCGCGCTTGCGCAACCACGTTACGCCGGCGTCGGGTTTAAAGACGCTGCGCGCCTGCGCACCACGCCAGGTTCCCGTGAGAGTTGGTGCGGTCTGCAAACGCGGTAGTGGCTGTAGCTTTGAGCTAAGATTGTCAGCTTCGCTGATGGGCTCTGCTCCAGGGGTAAGTGGGTACCACTGTCTTTGAAGTGCTTCTCGGGTAGTTCTTCGAGTTTGCCAAAACAGAGGGAGTCGGAGGATCCAGACAGATGGAAGTGGGGTCGTAGGGGCAGCGACATCAGCCGGGTCTCCAGGAATGGGCAAGTTGGACTTGTGGAGTGAGTGGGTAGGAATGATCCCTTGGTGGCTGGCCCAGGGTCACCTGCACTGGGCAGCGCGGAAGCCGGGATACTGAAACAACATCAAAAGCTTTCGTCTTCATCTCAGCTGCTGGGAAGCTCAGGGCCCGTCCTGTTGTCATCCCGAAAGCTGCGTAGATCATAGCATTCCTTCTTGCAAACTCGGTCTCATTTGATCAGATTCAGATAGTATTTCTGTTTTCCTAGTGAAATAGCTGAAATTTTCTTTATAATTAAAAGCCATAAAAAGTAAGCCAATCATCGCAATCGTTTACTGAATTTTCATTTAATAGTAAATTAAGTTCTTCCTCTTGGGTCGCAATCTTTGTGAACGTAATTTTGTATTATTTTGTTAAGTTTACAATGAGTTGTTCCCATTTTTATTTCTTCTTATAATTGTTTTTATTAATAAACAAGGGAATATTGAATATATTTCTGCACAACGCTTTATTTTAACCTAAAAATGGATGTTATTTGTATGGAGGGAATAAATAAGACAGCCGGCCCTCCAAGGGTGGGTTCAGCCAACTGCAGATCAAACCCATTTGGGGAAAATTGTTTCTGTTCTGAGTATGTACAGACTTTTATTTTTAACAAGGGCGGGGAGGAATAAATCATATCAACTACTTAAGTATTGATAATTTAAAGATAATCCAAAGAATTGAGCAGATTATATTCAAATACACCATTTTATGTGGGAATCTTGACTGTCTTCCAGGCTTTTGTTCCGCTGGGACTCCCCCACAGATATCTGAGGTGTGGTTATACTTAGTAGGAAGTTTTTGAAACTTATGTGCTTTAAGTTAGTATATCTCTTTCTAAATTAGGCATCTACCAAATTTTTAAATTCTATGGTTTCTATAAAGCATTTAGTTCTGAGCCATATTTTAAGGTCATATAGTTCATATAGTTCATATAGTTCATACTTCATATCTTTACATGTTAAACAAGGTTTGTTAAAACATTAAAAATTTCAAAAATTGTATTGAAGTCCTTATTTTTTACATGCATTCTCTTTAAGTATTTTGTGACTATTATATTTATGAGGGTACATATAAGCAAGCTGAATATTCTTATGACTTTACATTATGAAAACACCCATCTAGTATGGGTACTTTGTGATTTTATTTATTTATCTTGAATGCTAGGAATAAAGGCATGAACCATTATGCCTGGCTAGTTTGAGTGTTTTGTGAACTAGTAGATTCATATTAACCCTGGTCTCCAGCCTAGTTTGGGAGTTATACCCCGAGGTTAAGCAAGGGATTTCTGTAATCCTGATCACAATAAGCATGTAAGTAGCTTTCCCTTGATTTATTTGTTTGTTTGTTTGTTTTGTTTTTCGAGAAAGGGTTTCTCTGTGGCTTTGGCGGCTGTCCTGGAACTAGCTCTTGTAGACCAGGCTGGTCTCAAACTCACAGAGATCCACCTGCCTCTGCCTCCCGAGTGCTGGGATTAAAGGCGTGTGTCACCAACACCCGGGTGCTTTCCCTTGATTTTTTTCTGTAGAAAGCTGCCCATTCTTGAAAACCCAGCTCATAGGTGTATTGTAGATTCACTTTTATTGTGTTGTCAATGTACAGCTGTGTTAGAGTTTTACAGATACAACCAGTAAGAGACATGTACAGTAATGCTTTACTTAACAGTGGAGACAGATTGAGAAATGTGTTGATAGGGGATTCTAATTTTGTGTGAATACCAGAGTATACTCACCCAAACTGAGCCTGCTGTAACATTACTAGGCAGTATCACATGGAACTACTACATATGTGTGGTTCGTTATCAACCATAATTTTTTAGGGCTTATAATGATGGTATATGTAGAGTAAGGGAACATTGGATTTATTGTAAGTAATCAGCATAAGCACTCAAATGCTTGCCAGTCATACAGAAACGTTTTTCAGGCACACCTAGAATGATGTTTAGACAATTAGCTAGGCATGGTGAGATGCCTTCTCTCAATCCTATTGACACGAAAGATTAATAATTACAACAACCATACATCTAAAAATGAAAGGAGTACTCACCATATTTTGCTTGTACTTTACTTGAGACATATCTCTCACACTACATACACTGTTACTTCTTGAAATCACATAGGATGCAGTGTTGTGCAGCACACAGAGCTGAAAAATATTTTAACTGAAAAGAAATTTATATAGATGGTATAATCATAGCAGCTATACTCTGTTCCTTTTATATAATTAGTATCTTTTTCATTTTTTTCAAGGTATAGCTCCATGAATAACTTAAACGACCCCCCAAATTGGAACATTCGGCCCAATCACAGGGCTGATGGTGGCGATGGAAGCAAGTGGAATTATGCTCTGTTGGTGCCAATGCTGGGATTGGCAGCATTTCGTAAGTTATGATTGTATTGACATCTCTGTTTCCTGGTCCCAAATTATTCCAGAAGGAGGTTGCTGCAGGGGCTAAACACCCTAAAGATTGTCTTTAGGACTTGACTGATATAGTGCAGTTTTACCCTTACAACAACTCTGTGACAGGGTTAGTGTTTGTAGTTGGACTTTCTTTGGATCACCAGCCCCCAAATAATGACATCACATTGTGAAGGAACACCTGTTATTTCATAGCCACATTTTCCTCTGAAACCTGGTAACCACTCATCTGTGAACCAGTTGATTCATAATGTTATATAACTGGAGGTATGAAGTCTTTATCAGATAACACTAAAATGTCTGATCTTCCTGGGCTTTGGTTTAACAATTTATTTTGCTTTGAAACCTGGAAGTTTTGGATGTACAAGCTGGCCTTGACCTTGGAATCCTCCTCTCAGCCTCCCAAGTACTAGGATTACAAGTGCTTGCTACCAAGTCCAACCTAAGTTGAGCTTCTTCACCTTATTTTTGTAAAACATAATAGCAAACCCACCAGACTTAAGCTATCTGTATACAGATGATAATTGGGGTAAACCCAAGTGTGACTTCCAACAGTATTTGATACCTACCCATATTAATTTTTTTAAACATTGGCAATAAGTCATGGAGCACTGAGGCAGAGCACAAAAACAAAACAGTGGGGCTGGAGAGATGGCTCAGACGTTAAGAGTACTAATTGCTCTTCCAGGGGTCCTGAGTTCAGTTCCCAGTAACCACATGGTGGCTCACAACCATTTACAATTCAATCAGGAGCCTGTAGGCAGAACACTGTATATGTGATAAATAAATAAATCTTTTTTTTTTAAAAAAAGGAGAAAAACAAAACAAAACAGTGATAGATTTTCCAACCATGGAAGTTAGACACCAGAACATGGACATTGAATGTGCTACTTTAGATGCCCATCACCAGTCTGAGTTTAGGATAACAACTTTGCCTATTTTGTTATCTATGAAATTTCAATTACTTAGTACCTTTGAATTCTGAGACTTTTACTGAAATGATGCCATTACTGTGTATTATATATTTTCCTTAGGTAACCGTAGGATTTTAATTGTGTCTCTTCATGTGTCTTATCTCTTCTTCTTCGTGTCAGGTTGGATTTGGTCTAGGGAATCCCAAAAAGAAATAGAAAAAGCAAGAGAAGCATGTCATCAGAGAACAATTGCTTTCCAACAGGATCTTGAAGCTAAATACCATGCTGTGATCTCAGAACATCGGCGTGCAGTTGCTCAGCTGTCTTTGGAACTAGAAAAGGAGCAAAATAGAACAACTAGTTTTCGAGAAGCCCTTATTTCTCAGGGCCGAAAGCTGGCAGAAGAAAGGAAGCTTCTTGAACAGGAACGAGCTCAGATAAAGCAAGAAAAAAGCCAGTTGCAGCCTCTTAGAAGTGTCTATCTGAGCTGCCTGGAAGGAGAGGACGACTGGCAGAGGAGAGCCAAGCTTGTGCTGAAGGAGGTGGGAGAGGCTCTAGTGGAACGCCAGAATATCTACTGCAGCCTGATCCTTCCCCGAACTACAAGGCTAGAGCTGGAGAAGAACTTACTGGTGCGCTCGTCTGTTGATCCAGTGGCTGCTGACCTAGAGATGGCAGCTGGCTTATCTGACATATTTAAGTATGATAAGCATTGTGGAGATGTCTGGAACACCAACAAACATAAAAATGGGAAGCTCATGTGGATGTATCTCAAATATTGGGAACTACTTGTTGAACTTAAAAAGTTTCAGAAAGTAGAGAAAGTCATACTACAAAAATAAGAATGAAATGAAACTTAAGTCCAGATGGGGGCCATTCACCATGGCAATCAATCTGCATTCTGGGCTCTCTGATATTTACTCTGTTCCTTTGCCACCAGGTGTGACTTAGTGCAGCTGCCCTTTGTGAGAACTCAAGTCTTTCCACCCTTTGAACAGTGCAGTAGGGACTTAGGGACTATGACGCTCTGCAGATATTAGAGATTCAGTTTTTCTGAAGCATTTTTGAGCTGCTAATATTTAGCAGAACAAGTACAACCATGTATTTTAGTTCTAGGGTAAAGAAAAAAATTAAAAGCTCAAATGTATTATTACTCTAAGAAATGTTCTATCAGTTTTTACCTCTCCTCCAATTACTGTCCTTCCTTACCTGATCCATCTAAAAGTTATATTATCAAGATTTATCTTGTTTGGAACATTTTTTTCCCCACAAAGAAAAAACAAAACAAAAAAACTACCAAGTATTTTTTTATGCTCAGTTGGTGCACCAGTGAATGCTTAGAATTGAGCTGTTCGTGTATTCAGTAAGCATGTTTATTAGCAATGACACAGGCAATAATATTTGTCATTTAAAATTAATAGTGTTACTTTTTATTTGTTTGATTCTTTACTATTCTTTTGAGACAGTGTTGCTGCTACATAGTCCAGGTAGGCCTCATATGTGCCATCTTCCTGCCCCAGGCTCCCAAGTGCTGGGATTACAAATGTGTATCACCACTCCTGGGTTGGTAATTTCACATGTATTGTCTTGTTTTTTAGCATTATTTAAAAAGTAGATAAGTATTTATAACTTACATACAGCTTATATGAATTGTACATATAATATAACCCATGTAATCCTTACTCTGGCTTTATGAGCTAAGTACTATTATCTGTCTTATAAATGGTAATTTCCCAAGATACCCAGATTCTGTGACTTACTCTGGTTTTATGAGCTAAGCACTATTATTTTGTAAATGGTAATTTCCCAAGATACCCAGAGTCTATGACTTGCTATGGTTTTCTAAGATTCTACCTGTGATTGCCCTCAGGGCTAAGATTTATTATAGCAAGAAACATTAAATTAGTAAAGGTATGTTGATCAAGTCTAGAGGGAATCAGGTGGAATCCCCCCCCAAGGGTCACATTCTGTGGAATCACAGGGAGCATTTTTTAGTTTAGGGTAAGCTGTAACATATGACAGGAAAGCTCACTGTCAAGATTTTGATGGGGTGAGAGCTATTCATGTACCCCTTCTATCTGATGTATTACTGTTGCATCCCCACTGGAAGGAAAGTGGTAGACGTCACTCATACTCTGCAAGCAGTTTAGGTGTGGTGAGCCACTCACTAGTTACACGTTCTGGGAACTCCCATAATCCAGGTTCCTAAACACCTGTTAGGTACTAGCCTTGTGAAAGGATGGAGTCTGTATGAAGTCTGTTAAATGAGCTCTTCTACATAGCCTTATTTCCTGGAGGACAGGATCTGGAGCCATGATAGAGAGATGGTAATCTACCTAGGTCATGGTTAGAATTTTGTGGAGTGGGTGTGAGCTGGGTATTTGATTTCCAAAACTAGGAACCTGTATGTGCTTATTTGTCAGTGGCCGTGCAGAAAGTGAATAAAGTGGTTAGTTTGTGTTCAGATCCTATATTCCACCGTGTACATATCTTTCTGAATAGAAATATTACAAACTTGAAAACCCTTATACAGAAAACAGTTCAGCTATGGGATGATTGAGGAACACTGGTGCTCATGCTTTTTATCCCACATTAAGTTCTCAGAACCATCTTGGCAGAGTTGGCAGTGGGCTTTGTCAGCTAAATCCAGCTGATTCCAGCTTCGGTTAAAGCTCCTCTCAATAGATACTTACCATGTCTTTCTGCTGTATTACCAGCACTGTCTCTGCGAAGTTATTTGTTCTAGTAATCTAAAAAAGTTTTCTCAGATTGCTTCCTAATGCATTAGAGCCTTGAAAGAAGCCCCATAGTCTCTAGTTTCTGTTACTCCACTGATCTGTCAGGTGATCTTAGAGAGACCACCTCATGGCTTTCTCTAAGGTTTATCTTTTTGTTTGTTTGTTTGTTTGTTTGTTTTTGAGACAGGTTTCTCTGTCTAGCCTTGGCTTTCCTAGAACTCACTCTGTAGACCAGGCTGGCCTCGAACTCACAAGGATCACAGTTATTAAAGGTGTGTACCACCACCACCCTAAGCTTTTAAAATAAACACACATTTTCCTTGGGAATCACATCAACTGTTTGTCTGTGCCATGGCCACTTTCCATCCTAAGTCTGCTTTCTGTCTTTTAAAACCAAAATTGTTAGTAGCATATTTTTATTGCTGTTGGGGGGGAGGTCAAAAGGAAATACTCTGGAGTAGGGACTTACCCAGGAGGAGCTAGCATGGCAGACCCTTGGGCTGACACATGGCATGGATGGCTCTGGAACTAAGCTTTTATTTCTGTCTCAAGGAAATTATTTTCATATTCTTGAGTTTTAAAATTCAGAATATTAATGAAATAAACGGTCCATAAGTTAAGCCACACTCCTATTTTATTAGCATTTAATTACATTAATACTTTTGCAAAGCAGATAACTGGAAATGAAGTCCAAGTCCTCATGTGGTTATTTGTTCCTCAAAGGAGTTGCAAAGTGCCAGGCCTCAGCCATTCTGAGGAGCTGTGATTTGGCATTATAGACATGCTATCATTTACAAAGTTCATGCTTAAAAACTATAACTGAGTCATAACAAATTTCATAAACATAATCTGTATCTTATGTAAGTTTATGGTTTTGTGATGGGCTGCATTCATAGCTATCCTCTGACACTGAGGCTGCTGCATAGATTGTTCGTGTTGGGCATGCCTGTCTTAGGGTCTGTTTGCAAAGCATATTCCAAGAATACTGGGACTATTTCAGCAGCTAGATATCCTCAGTCACCAAACCATGTTACAAACACGCTAAGATTGGAAACAAAGCCAAGACAGCTAAGGACAAAAAAAAAAAAAAATCCCCACCCCCAACCCCCCACCTTTCTTTGTAGGCAGATCTCATCTGGTTAAAAGTACAACAGACAACATAGCTAAGCTTCTGCTAGGCTCAGGGGTCCGGTTCACTTTTCTGTGTCTTTCTCTGGTTATTTTTTATGGGCTGCTGCTCTTACACATTTTCTGTGATGAGTTTTCTCATTTCCTTCCCCTCACTGCATCAGAGCCAAGTTGGCCCTGCTCCCACTACATCCTTCCCTGGTGTCCACATTCTCCTCCACTTTCTACCTTGGTGATAGCTGTCACTCAGGTGGCTTCCTCTTTCTTTACTTTAGGATTCTGCTGTGCTGACACACACCCATTTACATAGCTGGGCTTCCTCTTAGAGCATGTAATGAGTATGACTGTAGTTTTCACTAAGGAATTCTGTGGCAGTGACACTGCTGGTGACAAATGGCTGGGCCTGATCTTCCAACTCAGGGCACCATGGTAGTTGAAACGCACAGCCTCTTGTGGCATGATTACAGGACCTACTCCATTTGTTCTAGTGCTCTGGAAAAGTTTTCCAAAGCAGTTTTGAAAGCTTGCAGCAAGAAAGTACCGAGTTCATTGCTGGTTTCATGAATGTCTGGGTCAAAACTTCCAAAAACAGGGGTGGAGGCCTGGATGTCCTCCCGGTTAGCTCGAAGCAGTACTGCTCGAAGATCCTCTGCAATCATGTCATATTTCTGTTTGTCAAATTTGGACACAGACAGCTCATCATGTGGGTAGGCAGTGCCCTCAGGATAGCAGTCCTTTGGCACTGGAAACTCAATGTGGCGGAGCCTAGGGAGTTCGCAGAGAGCAGCAAACAGGCGCTGGAGAGCACTGGCTGACAGTGGGTTTCCAAGGAACTTGAACTCCTGGAGCTGGCTGCAAGGGCTGAGGCCCAGAATCATCATGCCAACATGGTTGTCCGTGATGTTGCATTCTTCAAGGGTGAGCACTCTCAGTGTTTGGGCAGCCTGGCTCAACAGCCTGAAGAAGGTAGAAGGATACAGATGGACCAGGTTGTGTCCACTGAGGTCCAGCACCTCCAAGTGGGCAGTATGCTTACAATCTGCTAAGAAGGACATATCTTCATGATTAAGGGCACAGTTGGCCAGGTCCAGCACTCTTAGTGGGGTCTTCAAGGGGCTGTGAGGTAGGCAAAAACATCACAAATGTTATGAGGGCCCCAAGTAAGCTGGAGTTTTGGTGAAGGTGGACAATCCATCATTCACTTTTCTAACTTCAGGACCACAGACTGCAGCCTGCCAGGAACTCCAGCTGGCATTTCATTTCACATGGCTTCTAAGTTAAGAAAGACTGATAATTTCTAAGCAATTGGAAAAAACAGAATAGTTTGTGACATGTAAAATTCCTATGTTTCTTCTGGTAGTTTATGGCTGCTGGTTCTGCTGCACAGTCTATAATTGAACCTAAAATGGACCAACACCACCTTTCAAGTTGGGTGGGGACTTTAAGCACATGGTCTCAGAATTGTCAGACTATCGACTGGGGAGATCAAAAGACAGAATTAGTTTGAAAGAAGGCACTGTCTGATGACAATAGAATCGATACAATTTCAGGGCTGGGAAGGATTGAATTTGAACCTTGAATTTGAACTTCATATCCTGAATTCACTAGGCATCCTGTATCAGATGGGGGAGGTGTGTCTCTGGAATAACATTTCCACCCAGGATTCATGAGAATATACATTTTCATGCCATCTGAGACCCCGGATCTTTCTGAGAACATCCCCATCACTACCCTTGTTAAGCAAGGCAATATGTCCTGGGGTCTTTTTCTTTGTCCCTTCTACCCTGTTCTTGCTGCCTCCCCACGGCCTGACCACACATGGTCCCACATGACAACCTACTACTGGGACAGTACTCTTCACATGAAACCACCTTGACTTTATCACTCCCTGGCAGCTGCCCTTCTTCATAGCAGAGTGGCTGAGGAGGTCATAGCAGTGCCAGGATTTCAGGTGAGACAATAGTCCAGCTGACAACATTCTCACTATGTTTAGCTACATTCCCATTCCTGACCCGGAAAAAGGGTTTTTTTTTTTTTGTTGTTGTTGTTGTTGGAGGGAGGGTCTGTGGTTGTTTGTTGGTTTCTCACCCCCCAACCCCCACCCCCACCCCCAAGACAGGGTTTCTCTGTATTGCTTTGGAACCTGTCCTGGAACTCACTCTGTAGACCAGGCTGGCTTCGAACTCAGAGAGATCCTCCTGCCTCTCCTCCTGAGTGCTGGGATGGGAAAGTTTTAAGACACTATACATTGGGTGATTTGTTAGACAACAATAGACAGTAGAAGATCTAGTTGTGCCTCCTGTGTTGTTTACTTTCTAATTAATTAGTGTCCTCCTTCTCCTCCCTTCTTCCCTCCTTCTCTGGTGCTGGGAATTAAAACTAGGATCCTGCTACTGCTTTATTACTGAACTACCCTATATGCTCAGCCCTTGTTTCTGTTTGTTGAGATAAGGCCTCAAACATACAATGCTATTGCCTATGCCTCCAGAGTACTGGGGTTATGGCCAATCCCCCACACCTGGCTTTTGTTAATTGAATGGTGTCTTCCAAGTTGGCTCAGTGCTCTGTTTCTTTCCTGGTGGCTCTTAAACTCCTGTGGCTCTGGCCAACACATCCCCAGAGAACATTGTATAAGCAGATCCCATCTCTATTCCTATACCTCAGTGACTCCAGCCTGGTCTACTCCACCCAACCTGTGCCCAGTTATTTGAGACTTACCTAAGCAATGTTTGGATCTTCCCAGTCAGTGTAGAGAAAGCTACACTTAGCTCAGTGAGCTTGTTCATCTGGCTGAGCTCCCAAGCAATAGAGTTGAGGAGTGGATTCTCACCCTCTGGAGTTGGGGCACAGGTAGGGGGTGCATCAAAGGCCTTGGTAGGTAAGGTGAGTGAGGTCAGCTGAGGGAAGCCCACCTGGGCAAGCAGCTGCTGTACATGGCCAGCATGTAACCGTACATTGTGTACTACTTCCAACTTTCTTAGCTTGCTTGGCCGAGCTAGGCCAAGCACTTGAAGGAGCTGCCCAGGACTCAGACTATCTGCCCGGAGTGAAGGGCAGCAGACCTGCAGAGGGGCTGGGCCTGCTGGCTTCAGGGCCTGCACCACCATGTCAAAGTTGCCTTCTGTGACAAAGAGGTCAGTAAAGACTTCAATGGGGTGCCTAGCTGTACAGGGCTGTCCTTGGAGCTGGCAGCAGATCCTGGCCAGCACCTTAGTGCGGCCCCACCTTCCTAGTGCCCTCCCACAAGGACATTGCTGCACCTGTACATCCTGGATGCCTGTGAAATCAGCTACTCGAAGCCGGTTGCTCCCACTTTGCAGCACATGGTCAGCAAGGCCCTCCAGGCAGGCCTCCAGGCAGGCCTTGCAGGCACGATCACGCAGGTCTTTGGGGTGGTCGATGTTTGGCCCCAGCAGCACAGCCAGCCGGAACTCCTCTAGTGGCCAGTGACTCAGCACAGCACGAGTTACTTCTGCCTGCTCTAGCAGGTAACTGGCCTTGAACAGGAGTGGGTAGAGGTTGTAGGCTATATGGTCCAGGTTCTCCTGGGCCAGCTGGGGGTGGGACACCAAGGCTTCAGCAGAAATGAAACGGAGCGACCTCATTGTGTCCCTGGTGAGGATGGTGCTGTCCCTGCTGTTCCTCCCAAAGCATGTGGCTTTTGTGCCTACTTTTAGCTGCTGCTGCTTCTGGGCTCTGCACAGAAAGTGGTAAACTGGCCCTCGTGGTCATCTGACTGCTATTTTGGTCCTTGGATACTAGTTTGGCTGTGACTGTGCAGGCATCTGTTTCATGGCATCCTGCTGGTGAAATCAGAGCTGCTTGGTTTTGTTGCCCAATGTGGGGCCGATAAGAGGTTGAGCTCAAGATACTTGCACAAATAGTCTAAGGCTTACAATACAAATGTATACTCTGCCCAGCCCTGGCCTATCCCATTCAAAAGATATGAGTGGAGCCAGATCCTGAGCTGCACATGGATAGATGAGACAGTTGTCTTTGTGTAAAGCCCTTCTTTTCCTTATACCTAGGATCAGAGATGCAAGGGCCAGGATTATGGGGTCGGTATCTCATACAACAATTCAAATTTTAAGAATACTGGCCTGTGGAGCTTCACCACCTCTTATTCCCAAGGTCATTCTTTGCACAAGAGGGAGTAATAGTCCTGTAGAACAGACATAGACTAGTGAAGTAGGTGATGCTGCACATAAATGCAGGTACCTATAGGCTATGGATTTTCAGCCCTAGCATAGGTGGGTGTTGAATAACTGTTGATTGGTTAGATCCTGCCCTCTCATCATCCCCATCACTTGGGATAGGGCAGCACATCCTGGCTCGTAGGTCCCCATGGTGCCAGCTGTACAGGAGAGTCATAGTAGAGAAAGAGAGGGAGAGGCAGGAGGCAGACAGTGGCCAATCCAGGTGAATGTGCTGCATTCAAGTGTAACCCAGTTTCCCTGTGTGACCTTCTTTGGCTTCTTTCTCCTGATTTAGAGCTTTATCTCTCCCAAAGACTCTGCCATGGACATAGATAGGAACATGCTACCATGGTGGTGCACCAGGCACTGCCAGGTGGGCAGGATTTCTATGGAAGGCAATCCATGACACAACTTTGCCCTAAAGTCACCACTTGCCCCTGTCCTCAGTCTTGGCTGCTGTTGGTTGTTTTTTACTCTTTACCATTTGCTTTTTACAAGCTCCCAAATAAATCACATGGAGTCTTTCTAGCCAACCTTTTTTGTTTTGGTTTGGTTTGGTTTTGGTTTTTCGAGACAGGGTTTCCCTGTGTAGCTTTGGAGAGTCTTTCTGGCCAACCTTTTTTTGTTTTGTTTTGGTTTGGTTTTGGTTTTTCGAGACAGGGTTTCCCTGTGTAGCTTTGGAGCCTGTCCTGGAACCCTGTAGACCAGGCTGGCCTAGAACTCACAGAGATCTGCCTGCCTCTGCCTCCCAAATGCTGGGATTAAAGGCGTGTGCCACCACCCAGCAGCTTTTCTTAAAGTATCCCAACTACCTTTTGCCTTGGGGCTTTTATATTTCTCTATTTCTGCATATCTTTTCTATCCTTCTTATTCTGTGTCTGGCTGTGCGGCTGGGTATCTGACCCCTTCTTTTCTCGATTCTTGATCTCATCCTCAGATTTCTTCTACTATTTATTCTCTCTGCCCGCCAGCCCTACCTATTCTTTCTCTTGCCTTGCTACTGGCCATTCATCTCTTTATTAGACCAATCAGGTGTTTCAGATGGGCAAAGTAACACAGCTTCACAGAGTTAAACAAAACCAACATTAAAGAATGCAACACAGGGGCTAGAGGGACTGCTCTTCCAGTGGTCCTGAATTTAATTCCCAGCAACCACATGGTGAATTACAACCATCTGTAATGAGATCTGGTGCCCTTTTCTTGTGTGCAGACATACATGGAAACAGAATGTTGTATACATAATACATAAATAAAATCCTTAAAAAAATGCTTCCTGACTCAGCTTTAGCAACAAAAACTGCAGGGCTCTTTTAAGAGGCCCTCCTACCAAACAATTAAATGGTATTTATGAGCATCTGGTGGCATGCTTCTTGGTGATGACATGGACCTAGAACCAGTAGCATAGACATTGAGATCTACAATTAATAAATGGGACCTCCTGAAACTGAGAAGCTTCTGTAAGGCAAAGGACACAGTCAGTAAGACAAATTGACAGCCCACAGAATGGGAAAAGATCTTCACCAACCCCACATCTGCCAGAGGGCTGATTTCCAAAATATACAAGGAACTCAAGAAGCTAGCCACCAAAACATCAATGAAATTAAAAGTGGGGTGCAGAACTAAATAGAGAATTCTCAACAGAGGAATCTAAAATGGCTGAAAGACACTTAAAGTGCTCAAAATCCTTAGCCATTAGAGAAATGCAATTCAAAACAACTCTGAGATACCATCTTACACGGGCCATAATGGGTAAAATCAAAAACACCAATGACAGTCTATGCTGGAGAGGATGTAAATAAAAAGGAACACTCCTCTGATGGGGGAGGTCCTTCTGTGTATATGTTTGTCTTATTGGTTGATAAATAAAGTACTGTGGGCCAATAGGAAAACAAGATAGATGGGACTAGGGGTCAAGGAGAATTCTGGGAAACGTAGGAGAGTCAGAGTCACCATGTGACCCAGGAAGACAGGGCGCTTGCTGCTGGCATCCAATAAGTCTTATAAAATATATAGATTTATGATAATTAAGACTGAGCTAGCAGATGAGAAATCCTAGTCATTGGCCAACCAGCATTTGTACCTAATATAAGTCTCTCTGTGTTACTTGGACCCTTAATGTGGTGGTGGGCAGAACTTGGGCAGCCTAGTGGAAAGCGCCCACTTGACAGCAGGGCTCTGGCAGCTTTGTGGAAAGACTTATTGTTATACTCCTCCTTTGCTGGTGGGAGTGCAAACTTGTAAGACCACTTTGGAAATCAGTATGGTGGCTGCTCAGAAAAATTGGAAAAGCACATATCCATATACACAGAAGAAACAAGCTTCAAAAATTCTGGAAGCAATTTTTTTTCTGTGGTTTTTGGAAACAATTAAGCAGGGCCAACATGTGTGTGTGTGTGTGTGTGTGCATACAGATGCTTACACATGCCTTGCTTATAACAATTGAACCATTTACTCTTTTACTGACCTAGGTATTTTGTATGACATTGGAATTTTAAAATCTGCAGGCAAATGGATGGAACTAGAAGAAACCATCCTGAGTAAGGTAACCCAGTCTCAAAAAGACAAACATAGTTATGTACTCACTCATATATGAATTTTAGACATAGAGCAAAGGATTACCAACCTACAATCCTCATCACCAAAGGAACTAGGAAACAAGAAGGACTCTAAGAGAAAAATGCATAGAACCTGGAGAATGGGAAGGGGCAGGATCTCCTTGAGCTAATTAGAAGCATGACAGTAGGGGAGAGTGAGCTGCCAGAATGAGAGGAGGAGAAGAGGCAGGGAGAGGAGGAAATGGAGGAGCAGAAAGGTCAACTCAGGGGAAGAATAGAGGAGAGCAGGATGAGAGATACCATAACAGAGGGAGCCATTATAGGTCCGAGGAGAGATCTGGCACTAGGGAGATTTCCAGAGATCTACAATGATGACACCAACCAACAATCCAGGCAATGGTGGAGAGGCTACCCTAAATGCACTTCCCCTATAATGAGACTGATGACTACTTTATTTGCCATCTTAGAGCCCTCATCCAGTGGCTGATGGAAGCAGAGGCAGACACCCACAGATATACACTGAACTCTGGAATCCAGTTGCAGAGAGGGAGGAGTGAAGATCAAAGGGGTTGGAACCAGGCTGGTGAAACTCACAGAAACAGCTGGCCTGAACAAGGGGGAGCACATGGACCCCAGACTGCTGTCTGGAGCCAGCACAGGACTAAGCCAGACCCCTGAATGTAGATGTCAACGAGGAGGCCTCGGCACTCTATGGGGCCCCTGGTAGTGAATCAGTATTTTTCCCTAGTGTAAGTAGGGACTTTGAATGCCCATCCCATGTGAAGGGATGCTCTTTCGGCCTGGACACATCGGGGAAGGCCTAGGTCCAGCCCAGGATGATGTGGTGGACTTTGGGGAGCCTCCATGGAGGGCCCTGCCCTCCCTTGGGAGCAGAGAGGGGATGGGGTGGGAGGCTATGGGGAGGGGAAGGAGAGGGAGAAGGAATTGGCATACGAAGCAAGCTTGTTCCTAATTTGAACTAATAAAAAATTATGTGGATCCTAGTTTACAATGTATACATGTATCTATGTAAGCAAATGTATGTATGTACAACATGCATAAATGAGAACAAAAAGGATAATGTTAGGTGACAAGAAAGGACAGAATACAGAATACATGAATCATAAAAGATATTAAGCAAATTACTTTTCTAGATTTAACTGTTATGGAATTTTCTTGTGTGTGTAAGCAATGGATAAATGCATAAAAAATAATGTAATTTATAATGAAAGTGTAAAATTCAAAGCTAAACACCACCACTTCAGAAGACTTGGGTTTGGGAAAGTGCTTGTTTAAGTGTCTATGTTAATCTAGATGCATAGTTTTTTTTTTTTTTTTAACTTCTAAAGTCCTTAAGGAAAACTGATTTTTTTTTTTAACAATTTCATAGTTTTTAAGAACATGAAGTTGGGTAGGTAGAGAGGGGACTATCTCAGAGGGATTGGGGGAGTAGAAAGAAGAGTTAAAGAAGGAACAAAAAATTTCCAAGCAATTACAAAAAATTGAAAAATATATGCCATATAGAACAGTAACTTCCCAATTACTTGAAGGATCTTAACACTGGTCAAAGATTGACAAATTATTTTACTAATCCCCAGAAATATAGGATTAAAATCTGTATCTTTGAGTAAAGTGGAATATTTTAGCTTGTGATAAAATATGTCATTCAATATACAGCAGTGACAATACATTAAGAAACACCTTTATTAAAACAACTAAACTTCACAATCCATGTTTTAGAGTCTAACATATGGTTTCTGGAAAAAAAAATAACTTTCAAGAACCAGTATTGTTCTTTGATACAATCATTTGATAGCTGTGTTTCATTCAGTTTAAAAAGTGGGGTTATATAGTAAATTTGGTTTTATAACAAATCGATATCCTTACAGAGGTAAGTTATTTGCAGATTCTTATGTCTGTGATACTTCTTTCATTATATCAAATGATGATGCCCTGTAAATTAAATTATAAGCAATCCTTCAAGGTTTTTGTTTTCAGACAGGGTTTCTCTATGTAACAGTCCTAGCTGTCCAGGAACTTGCTTTGTAGACCTAGGCTGGCCTAGAATTCTAACTGCCTCTGCCTTCCAAGTGCCAGGATTAAAGGTATGTACCACCATGCCTGTTTTCCTTAAAGTTTTTGTGACATTCCATATATTCATTGGACTGATCTGTTATAATAATTTCCTTATATTCAGTAAGATGTGAGTTGTTGGCAAAGGCTTGGCTATATTATTATTTACATGTTTTGTGGTATAAATACTTTGCTTTTCTGAGGTATAAATATCAGACTAAACTCCTTCCAGTCTCTACATGTATGAAGTTTCTACCTAATATGAATTCACTGATGGTTAATGAAGATCACTCTTCAGCTAAAGGCTGTGAAACATTATATGTACAAGCTTTCCCATTAATTCAAAAATCTCTGATGTTGGTTATGGCATGAAGAATAAAGGATTTGTCACATTATTTTAACTTGTCGGGTTTCTATTATGTATACATTTTTGATGTTACATAAGTGTAAAACAATTGTTAAATACTTTTCCACTCTCTTTGCATTTATAGGGTTTCTCTCCAGTTTGTATGGATTCTTTGGTATTAAGGGCTTTACAATTATTAAAAGCTTTACCATAATCTTCAAATTTGTAGAGTTTTTCTCTAGTATGAATTCTTTGGTGTTGTTTAAGATTTGAAGAACAGTTAAAGCCCTGGCAACATTCTTTGCATCTGTAGGGTTTCTCTCCAGTATGAATTCTTTGGTGTTGACTAAGAGCGGAACAATTATTAAATGCTTTGCCACATTTCTCACACTTATATGGTTTCTCTCCAGTATGAATTCTTTGGTGTTGAATAAGGGCTGAAAAATTATTAAAGGCTTTGCTACATGCTTCACATCTATAGGGTTTCTCCCCAGTATGAATTCTTTGATGATAATTAAGGTGTGAAGATGAGTTAAAGGCCTTGCCA